GTTCCCTCCTACATTCCAAAAACATGTGTGACAGGTTAATGGAACACTCAAAATTGTCCCTAGGTGTGATTATGAGGGTGAGTGGTTGTTCGTCTACATGTGCCCTGTGATTGGCTGACAAATAGTTCAAGGTGTACCCCGCCTACTGCCCGAAGACAGTAGGGATGGATTCCAGTAGGCCCAGGACCCTTGTGAGGTTAAGTGCATTCGAAAATAGATGGGATGGATGGAACATTTCTTGTGATATTGTTAATGTTAAGGGTACAAATTAAAATATTAAAAGTTGCAAAAATACATGGTGACAATAGGAGCTCTCTACTGCGACTGTGCTTTTGTGTGTCCAAGCATGTGCGCGTGCATGTGAGGGTGCATGTGCTTGTGTTTTGCTTGTTATCTGACCACAAAAAATGCACCGGGGCCTATCACCACGTTAGTTCTGCATGTCTGTGCCCAATGAAACATTCAAAAAGTTCAGGGAAAATAGCCGTGCAAATAACGGGAAATGTGCCACAAGACATGTTCTGCAAATATTGACACTTAGTCATAAAACTGGAATGATGACTGTGGATTGAGTCAACATTTAAAATGAAAAACAAAACAAGTGACACTGGCGCTCAAACTCAAAGAATGAAAATGACTAAAATACTGTATAATTGAAGTAATATTATTATTAAACAACTTTTATTACGGTATTTCATTGCTATGAAAATAAGAGGATGTGAATGGTATTGATAAAGGAAGAATCCAATAAACAGAGAAGGTACACTTTTGTTTACACTGGCACCTAGGACACTCTGAATGTATGTTACACACTCACACCTGGGCAGCAGAATCATTCAATTTCTCGGTAATCATGAATCAAGGTCATATTGAAGTGACAAGTAGACCACTATAGTGATAATGATGGTTAATTTCAAACAGTGACTTAACGGGCCACCTAATCAGGCTCAACAAATTGAAACAATTGAAAATGCAAGCTACTATCATTTTTCTGATTAAAGAATACATATATAGTTTTTGAGTGAAAAATGGGCCATCCAGGTAGGACAGTCCCTTGATGAAAAGAAAATGAAAGGGTCACAAGGGTCCCGGGCGTACTGGAATCCCGGGCCTGTGTGGGTTTTCTCCGAGTCCTCCGGTTTCCTCCAACAATCCAAAAACATGCATAGCAGGCTGATTGAGCACTCCAAATTGTCCCTAGGTGTGAGTGTGAGCGCGAATGGTTGTTTGTCTCTGTGTGCCCTGCGATTGCCTGGCAACTGGTTCAGGGTGTCCCCCGCCTACTGCCCGAAGACGGCTGGGATGGGCTCCAGCACCCCCCACCCCCGTAACACTTGTGACGATAAAGCGGATCGGAAAACGGATGGATGGATGAAATTATCTAGTAGCAGTATATCAGTTAATGCCTGATAAAGTTGTTGAATAGACGGTCCTGAAAACCTGGACTCACCCCCACTCACCGATTTTTAATATGCTTATATTTATATTTTATATTTATATTTATTTATATACTTTTTGTCTTCTACTTTCTCCCTTTCATAATTTTGCTACTGTAAATTGGGAATTTCTCCATTGTGAGACAAATAAAGGTTTTCTTATCTTATCTTATCTTAAAGGGTTGTCACAACAACATTCAATAATGTGGAATATGTGTACAATTTTGTGATAGTTATAATCTACACTGGATATTGCAGCGGTACGTACTGATTGCTATTCTAGTTGTATTTTTTTTGTTCATCTCTGATATCCAGCGTTATTGAGTCTGGTCAGTGTCTGTACATTGTGTCGATGTTGACAGACCAATCTGGTCATGAATTCCACATCCTTCATTAGCTGCTGTTTTTTAGTGATGTAACTGCATTCAAAAAGGGATGACAGATTGTTTCCTGTATAGCCAGTTACATATTTTGGAAAACAAACACTTCATTATTGCTGAAGACAAATCATGGTTTTCTTTGACATGAGAAATTTAGACTCCATGTTATCAAGTAAGTCTCTGCATGAGCAAAAGTGTTATTTGCTTTGCTTCCATGACAGTCTTATCTGTTGGACAAAGGAAGGTTTGAAAGAGCTCATTATTGCTTTCAGGGCTTAAACATGCATAAAGATGCTGACCTTGGGAGTCATGGCATCACCTTAGCCTGGTAAAAACAGGCCATGGCGCACATACTGCACTTTTTGTACAGGACAGCAACCGACTGTGGCTGTCAGGAGTTTTGAGAAAATGTCTTCATTTTCCCAAACGGCCGGTGTATTTCCGGGCCTGACATCTTGACATTAGCGTTATTTTGAGTAACGATGAGATTCTCTACACGGCCCTGGGATTCTAACGGCCTTGTTTGTCCATTCACTTGCAACTACAAATAAACTGACATTTTCCATTTAAGTGAACAGTGTTGCTTTTCCTGTGACATTCTCATGGTATGACACCATAAAATCAATTTGAAGCAGTCTTTGTCTACTAGCATCTCAGTTGCAATCACGCTGGAATGACATCTTCTCAGCTGCCTGCTTGAAATGTGATTTGCGCACTTATTTGAAGTATGTTTCATAATCACATTTTTTCCCCCCACATCTCATCCCATCATCCCTGGGCAATCCCCCTGGGGCTGAGAAAGGACACCATTTTTCTATGTCCTGACAGAAAAGAAAAATGTCAAGGGAATGTCCATGGCATCCAGAGCAGCGAGGGCACTGCTTGCTCGATGGAGAAGTCTGACATGATCATCCTCCGTGAACCAAGTCTGATAAGTTATGAGCAATTGGATAAACTCAACACAACATTTACTTTACTCTTGACATCCAATACTGGTGGAGTTCTTTGCTCTACACAAAGTGCCGTTCTATTTTGATTTTCATGTCAGCTTATTGATCGACAACCTATGTTACATCTCGCAGCTATTTATGGCATATTATGGCATATTTCGTCATATTTTGCTTGTCCATGTACGCATTACTGAGCACACAACTGTCAGTGATGACAAATATCACATCGAATACCATGCTAATATGGTGTGCCTCGCTGTACAGTCAGCGCCAGTTTGAATTATTTAATATAAATTGATTGATGCGCATTGTCTGCTGGCTTTGTTGCCATGGCAACCTGCTTCGATCACAAAGGGAATATTGTACATACAGGGCTCTTCAACTTGTAAGTTCCAACTGGTTTCGTGATGAAAGAAAAGCGCTGTTTTATCCAGTGATATTTTCAAGAGAGACCTCAAGCATTTGAGCTGTTGCCAAAAATAATACAGGTTGGCAAAACCGCAAGCAATTTTGAAGCCTGTTTTGTTTTCTAAAGTACAAGCATTTAGCACACTTATTGGAAAAAAAAAGTCTGCCACATCATTTTTTCAACATTACAATTAACTGCTGCTGTACTGTCTGTGTTTTTATGTTTAAAACTGATTCACCTTCAAGTATAGCACAAATAATGCAGACAGAGCTAATAACGATGAAGGCATTCCGATTCTGATTACAGAAATACTATAAATTGTTTGCCAAAAGCAAATGCAACTAAATGCCAGTTTCTATACCTTGCTGTGTCTACACATTAGTTGGAACCCTAACATCTGAAGAGATTTCTTACAGGGATCAACAATTGTGCTCATACAGTGAAAATAATCATTCAGTTATGAGGTTGATTTTGATGAGTTTGATCGGTGCACAGGCAAACAGATTCTGAGCTCGGATATTTCATAAATACATGAACAGCAAGCATTAAACCCTTCATCATTGTAGAAATTAATTCATTGAAATTATTATTATTATTATTATCATCTATAACTGCTTCAGACAACAAAGTGTGTGCAGGAAAGTGGTGAAGATTGCACGACTGTCTGTGTCCTATGTGTTGTGTTGTGTTATTTTTGTTATTTTGACTTCAAGATGGCGCCGCGAGAGTGGCTGCCTCCCCAGCAGCTCCTATATTTTGTTGTTCTACTTCTTCCTTTCATAACTTTGCTGCTGTGATTTGGGAATTTCTCCATTGCGAGACTAATAAAGGTTTTCTTAATTATTATTGTTATATCAGCCATCACAGCTATGAGGTGGGGCAAGGATATGAATGATCGAGGTGTAGGGTAGTTTTTAAGATAAGATAAGATAAGATAATCCTTTATTTGTCCCACACTGGGGAAATTTACAGCCTTCAGCAGCAAGATTGTAGGTAGAAAGAAGAGAAAAAAAAAAAAAAAAAAAAAAAAAAAAAAAAATTCCAACTTCATTGAACAAATATTTGTGATCTCCTCCGAAGCCGAATCCACCGGACTGCGAGTACATGACTAGTGTGCCTCATTTAAAGGAAATGAGAGGAGCCGCTTTAATTGGACATGGCTGAAGGGTTCACTCCCACAGTGGCGCAGATCTCTGTATTTTAGATACGCAGGCTTGCGCTTGTCTTCGTACGCTGCCTGCCCCATTCGATTAAAACCGGTCATGAAAATAGAGGCCAAATAATAATATATAGCAATAATAATTTTTATTATTGTGGTTGTAGTTTGTAGTGGTGCACTGTATATTTATTGTATGCACCGCCAGGGTGAATTGAGCATCTGTTGAAGTGCTTGTCTGCACAGGCAAAAAGGTCATTGCATCACCAAAGATTCACCCCAGCACGTCAGTCAGTAAGGCCTGCAGAGAAGGCAGGCACCTATACTCCCTAACCAAAGATATCAGTTTACCGCTTGTTCTGGGACAAGTGCTTCTAGATTGGTCTTCATTTTTCTCACTAGTTGCGTCTTTCATACCCAAAAGACATTCAATTTGCAGTCCTTGCAGGCAGTCTCACGTGGCATTTTTTTAACTTTTAAAATCTAAATGGATTCTATTCTCTGTGTAAGCCATCAAAGGCTCAAGTGTAATACATACAGTCGTCCTCTCAAGGGGTGTTTGGTTTCTGTATGGAAGCTAGTGTTACCGTGCTTTTTTCATGATTAATTAATTCATCAGTGCAGTTCTCCCCAAAGCTGAGGGTGGTTGGATGGTTGGATAGCTAAAAGGGGGGAAGTCAGTGTTTGTCTCTTTATGCAAGAGCCTTTGCACCAGCAGGGTTCACAGAGGAGGAAGGCACGTGAACAGATGCAGAGCAGGGACGCTATGAGCCCGCAGGACTCCAAGGCCGCTGGGGCAGAGGCCATGGAGGGACACAAGGCCCAAAGCCACAATCAGGGGCGTATGGAGCCCACAGCGCCTCCGCTTCCTCCTCCTTCACCACCACCAACGGGGCCGCCGGAATACCCGCGGCCGAGGCTTATTTTCCACACGCAGCTGGCTCACGGAAGCCCCACAGGCCGAATTCATGGATTCACCAATGTCAAGGAGCTGTATGCCAAAATTGCTGACGTTTTCAGCATCTCTCCCTCCGAGGTACAAAAACGGTTTCATTAACTTTACTGTGCTATTTCATTCTATTTGATTTAGCCTTTTGGGGTATTTATTTATTTTTGGGTCCGGGGGTTGGGGGGGTTCTCTTAAAACACTTGCGAAGTGACTCAGTGTTGATCAGTATGGATCATGACAGCACAATGTACTCATTGGCCACATCATCTGGTTCAACTGCTCAATTCGGTGACATTCAACAGAAGCGATAAGGTGAAATAAACAAAAACAAAAATCAGGCGTTGCTCAAATAGTTGGATCATCTTGCTTAGTTAGATGAGAGTGGCATAATACTCAGATATACTGGAAATATTTTGCTGTCGTGATTGGCCAGACACATTCATCCTTCTCGAACATGGGTGTGGGTATAATTGTTGAGGTTTCTGATTTTTGTACAAACCGCTTTTGTACATGAGTAATAACACACACACACACACACACACACACACACACACACACACACACACACACACACACACACAAACTAAGCTATACACGTACATGTTTTTTGGAACTTATTCTTCGTTTGCCCAAAAACATTCAATTCCCATAGTAGTCCACTCAACCAAATGTACGCAAGACAAGCCCAGCTGCACTGGATGCCGGATGGTTCGTGGAAACCAGAACATTGTTTTGTGTTAGATGGAAGTCCTGGATACACTCACTCACACAGGCTTTTATTCCTCTCTCTCTGACTATCTCATCCATTCACAAATCTAACAGTAGCCATGTTAGATTTGTGATTGGCAGCCAGTGAGAGAAGAGGAAGGGTAAGATGGCGATGCCTGCGTCTCACGATAGTTTCGCCTATTATTTAAGGTAAAGCATTGTTTGAGGATGTTTTTAAGCATCGGGATTGTTATTTAAGTGTGTCGGAATCATACTTTTGATTTGTACTTTATTTCATGGTTTAAATTAAGAATATAGTATATCATCCCTTTAGGGGAGCATTCATTTGGAATGTGGAAATGTGCCTGTTGTGCTCCTGCTCAATTCCTATACCCCCTTGACTTTGGGGTCCAATGTACTGTTTGCCTTCTCACCAACCATTCATGGAGTTATTTGTCAACAGAAGTTAGAAACAGATGACGCAGTGAGCAGAGACAAAAACCGCACGGCAAAGTGTGTATATCAATTCATTCAGACAAGCTTTGTTTAAAAATTGTTTAAAATGCAAATACATAACTGTACAGTAACCGCATGTCAATCGGTCTATGTAGATATTCATTCAAGAGTTAGACTTCACAATTCACTGAGCATGTGAGCAGTAAAACACCAAGAGTGCTGTCGTGATATTAGGGCTGATAGGCTTTTGCTATCTGCATTTCTACTTGAAGGACATGTGGGACTGGAGATTAGAGCAAGTATATTCCACAACAGCTAACCTTCACGTTCTTATCAGGAACACACTCGCCATAATTATGATGACGTGACTGGCTAGAGTTACACAAGATGCAAAACCATCCGGTTTAATGCCACGACTACACATGCCTTTAAGAATAAAACACCGACATTTATGAAGTGAGATAAGGCTCTGTTCATGAATACAGTGAACATTTATTTTATCAAGCAGTATTTTACTTGTTAATCTGCATGCCATGAGACATCCCTATTATTTTCAGGGACTCATAGATACCACAAATTAATAAACAAATTGCTTTTGTGCATGAATAGGAAAACCTATAACATGTTCATGTAAAAACCTTTAGGAAGCAGTCAGATGTGCAATAAGCATACTCAAGATAATAAGCTCCACAACCTTGCTCTCATGTGAACTGAACAGCAACATGACAAAAAAGACCTTGAACTATAGCCAGGCATCAGTATCGCATGTGAACAGTATCTAAGCGGAACCACACCAGGTCAGATAATGAATGTTATCTTCTCTTCCTCCTGTGTCTTATAAAATAAAGTTTTTCACCGCAGAATTATAATTTTTTTTTTTTGCTTTTAATTGATGTTATTTGACTTTGGGAAACTGTATTTTGTTTCTTCATGGATGCGACAAAAAAAGTTTTGAACAATGAAGGTTAGAGGTAGAGTAATACATATTTAAATCAAAACTTCAGCACATTCAACTAAATATATAATACAGTATATGAATGAAGCAATTCATAAACGATTATTGTTATAGAGTTATAAATACAGTACAGGATGTAGAAAAAATGGATTCGTCCTGAGTGCCTACTCTTGGCAATTTGTTTGAAAATGTTCCCCCCTGCTGTTCAAAATCCATAAAGCACAGCTGGAGAGTTTCTGTTAAATTACAGTATACCACGCTGCTGCTGCAGGCCATCTATTAACAGTAGAGTACAGTTCTGTTATTCACTTTAATTCACTTAATTAGAACATGTACAGTACATTGATTAAAATTGACATGCTAGTTTATTATTTTCGGGGAGAAGAAACTACATCATTTTGTCAACCGATGACAAATTATGAATTTTTACACACTTGAGTAAAATAATATTTTTGCTGAAATTATATATTGTATATGTAGATATGAATTTATTAATGTATATTTATATATCATTTATTTTTAATGATTTCAAAAGTGAAACTCTCACTGATGAACTACACACAGTAATATTTATTAGTTTTAGGTTTTTTTTTTGAAGGTCATGCGGCTACATTCACCTTTTCAGGAAGTTTGAATATTACAAAAGAAACCATAAAAAAATAATATACACATTGCATAGGAATTGGTGTTCAGTGAGTCTGTGTTTCGCTTTCGTATTGAACTTTTGAAATCAAGGAAAGTGATGATCATTTATTGAGATGAGCCTGTCTTTTCCGGGTTGCAGATCCTGTTCTGCACCCTCAATTCCTATAAGGTAGACATGCAGAAGTTACTCGGAGGGCAGATTGGACTGGAGGACTTCATATTTGCTCACGTCAGAGGAGAGACTAAGGAGGTGGAGGTGACCAAGACAGAGGATGCGCTGGGCCTCACCATCACAGACAATGGTGCTGGATATGCATTTATTAAGGTGAATAAGGACAGCGCGCTGCAAAGAACCTTTTTCATTTCAGCACAATGGCAAACCCTTTTTCTTCTCCATATGAAACAAGCTATCTCCTTGAAATGGATATGTTTTCAAAGTCATTGGTCTTCAAAACAATGCTAAAAGTGGAATATTCCTCTCCTCAGAGAATAAAAGAAGGCAGCACAATAGATCGACTGAAGACGGTGTGTGTCGGTGACCACATCGAGGCCATCAATGACCAGAGCATTGTTGGATGTCGACATTACGAAGTGGCCAAGATGCTGAAAGAGCAACCAAGAGGCATTCCCTTCACGCTACGCCTGGTGGGACCCAAGAGGGCCTTTGGTGAGATCCGCTTTTGACACTGTTACTGTATGCGCATTGATGTTGAACACATCGAAGGGCAGAGCACATTTGAGAAACAATTACAGTTACAATTACAACACAAGAATAAAGTCAACCAAAAAAGTAATTGAATTGATTATTCAGTTACAAATAATATATTTATTTTCTAAAGAATAACATGCCATGTATCAAATTAAAGCTTGGACATTTGCCGAGCTAAATGATGAGGCCACGAAGATGTATGGTTTCTGTTTCTTGACTGGAAGTCTCACAAAAAAAAAAAAAAAACATTTCATTGTGTTACTCTTGGTACTGCACAACACCCCTACTTATTTATTTTGAATAACATTAGCTTGAGAGTCAGAAATGTTTCATCAATATCGACAATGATTTATAGCACCGTTGAAGAATTAGAAGTATAAGCAAATTTGCAGCAAAGAAACATATTTTTCAACCAACGACATCATCAGTCAAAAAGCAGGTGGAAAAGAGTGCCTTATTATTATTATCATTATTGTTATTAGTTCTCTGCGCTATGAATCAGGCATGAAAAAAAAACTGTAGTTTATGGAGAAATAAAATGATTATCCCTTGTAGCCAGAGTCACCCTTGAAAAGAGCCTTTTTGGGAAGATGGCGTGTATAAGCCCGCAGGAAGTTACGTCAGTCTTTTCATCAGCATAATTGGAAACAAAAAAAGTAAATAGTTATCTTCTGAAAGAATGCAAAGCAGGGGGTGTGGCCATACCGCAGTCATACTTTGATGACTGGTTGACCCTGAACATCTCAACTGGTGTTGTTTAACGAGACAGAAGGTGCAAACACATCTTTGGCTTGTTGATTGATTGTATCAGCACATCTAATTTTATAGTGTCAACTATGACAGCTGTGCCTTTTTTTAAGGGTTGGATGAATACACAGGTGTGGAAAGGCTGACCTTGGGGCCTCATATGCTGCATGGACCCAAAGAGCAATTGTGTGGATATTTGAGACTGAGTTACTTGTGAGGATCGACTTTGATTGTAAAACTTCGCTTGGCAACATCATCCTGGATAATGTAAACAACATAAAATTAACCTGTGATTTATTTACAAAATTCCTTGCCATCTAGGCGTCTGTTTCCCTTTCCCCGTCCCATAAATGTTTTCATCAAATGGCCCAAGAGCCTGATTTATTGTACTTCGTCACAACACATTGGAAAGGAAATTCTGGAAAGGAAATTAAGGAGTACCAGTAAGTTGTTGTGAGTGAATAAAGCTGAAGTGGCTGGAGCCTTTCTGTTGTAGACCTTTTGTGTCAGATGGGAAACGAAATGGAGAGTCAATTAACTGACTTCCTCAGAACAGTTAAAGTGATGTGACTGCGAGAACAATGTAACTGATGAAGGGCCACTTCGGTCGCGATGACATCACGCATAGAGACTTAATAGTGTTTCTGTTTTTGTCCTTATCACCAAGTCACAGACAAACATTATTGAACTGTATATTTTAATTCATTTATGATTTGGTCAACGGCTGGACTAAACTACTGCACAATGAAATTACTGGAAGTTTGAGGCGCACACTTTTCTCTATTTCCATAAACCCATGGTTACAAAAGAAAAACAGATTTATGAATAATAATAATAATAATAATAATAATAATAATGCCATGAAAATTAGTCACCCTCCTGGACAGGGGGAAAACTGTTGACAAATTGAAGAGATGGATAGTATTAATGTTAACAAAAGACCCCAGAAAAATCTCCAAAGCTATTAAACTCCAAGGTACATCAGTGTCAGATTGCGCCATCTGTCGTTGTTGGAGCCAAAGTGGACTTTGTGGGAGACGACCATGGAGGACACCACTGATGAAAATAAATCAGTTTTAAAAAATGCATGTAGACAAGCCACCAAGCTGAAAAGAGAATGACCTATGGACAGATGAGACACAATTGGAACTTTTTAGCAAGGCACAGCAGCTTTAATTTCACAGATGCAAAAGTGAAGGCAACAAAGATAAAGAACATTGTTGCTGCTATGAAACATAGACGAGGCTATGTTCTGGGGCTGCTTAGCTGCACCTGTCACAGGCTGGTTTGAATATGTGCACGATATCATGAAATCTCAAGAATATCAAAGTATTTCAGAGAGAAATTTGCTGCCAAGCGTAGTGTCAGAAAGCATGGTCTCTGATGCGGGTCACTGGACTTGCAAAGGGATAATGACCCAAAGCACACAGCTAAAAATGAGAATGACTAAGAGAAAAACATTGGATTTCTGTGGTGGCCTTCCATGAGCCCTGATTTAAATCCAAAAATCATTTGGTTGCAGTAATTGCCTTAAAAAGGTCATGAAACAAAATGTTAAGTTTAGGGTACCACCATTTTTTGTCCTGGCCTGTTTTTTGAGCTTGGTTTTGAAAATGATTCTGTTCGACCACAACTCCAAAGCAATATCTGATTTTCAGTGGTTAATTTTCCTGATTGTATTTCTTCTTCTACTTATTATTATTATTATTATTATTATTATTCTCCATTTATGTGTTTTATCCACGTGTGTAGAAGTGGAGCGCCCTAATCACGACCCATCCTTCAGGACATACGATAGCAAATATTGTGAATCAGGCATCTGTGAACTCTGACCGCATAATGTCCTTGTTGAATGAATGGGAAATATTCCCAATGATGATACCCACATGTCTGAAAAGAGGTGGAAGTGAGTTGGAAAAGGGTTTTTCCTTTTACTGTATCTGTAAAGTGCACGCAGATGTCACGGTTGCAAGGCCGGAAAATATGTATACAGCTTGATGCAAAACCCCCTCGATCATCATATCTAAACTAATAATGACCTACTGGCAGAGAATGGTATGTACAACTCCATATTAATTGATGTAGCTTATAATGGTAATGTTGACACTGGCATCATCGTTGACACTGTTTTGTGGATTACATTACTGGCAAACACAGATCAACAACAATTCTACAGAAGTATCACATACCGTACATGGATAACAGGATTTTTCCAAATAACGCAATGCAGAATTTCTACTCTCAGGGGAGTTTGGACTATTTATCTATGGGCAAAAATAACACTGACATCCTCACAGTCAGTTGAATATGCCCAATACGTTTTTGGATGGGAAATACAGTCACTGCAGTTCGTTAGAAGTGATGCATACTCTCCTAGGAGGGAACATTTTCTAGATTTTTAGCTCCATACACATAACAGTGGTCCAAAACATCTAATCATAATAAACATTGTTAATGTGTGTGTGTGTGTGTGTGTGTGTGTGTGTGTGTGTGTGTGTGTGTGTGTGTGTGTGTGTGTGTTTAGACATGATCGGAATGAGGACCAAAGCACCGAAGTCTAATGAAGGCAAAATCGTCAATGGAAGGGAAACCCTGCGCCTCCGTTCCAGAGGTTCCTCTTCTGTTCAGGAAGTGGTGAGTTTGCAGGATAATGGATAAGTATTGAGCGACACATACAAACGCACACTTCCTGGAAATGCATCACTTGAAATGCGATTGTTAAACACCAGGACATTTTCCTCCCAGCAGAATGAGATTGAAGAACAGGCCACCATGAAAGTGGATGACCTGCTCGAAAGCTACATGGGCATTCGAGATTTAGAGCTCGGTAAGACCACCATTCTAGGATAAAGTATATGGATAGTTGCTATATTTGCACCAAATATATGAGTGTATATACGTGTGTGTGTGGGTGTGTCTATATATACACCCACACACACACACACACACACACACACACACATATATATATATAGCTGTACACCATGACAATGTTTAGGGCACATATATTGTCTCATGCAATCCAAAACGCCGATCTATCAAAGTACAATTCGGGTGTATTAGCTCTATCTAGTGGTGAAGTGAAGTTGATACACTTTCATCAACAATTGTTCTTAACGTGACCTAAAATTGTCATAACAAACAAGAATGAGACAACATTTAAGAATATTCCAAATAAACGGGGCATAATTATGACCTTTTTCACCTTTGCACTTTTTGTTTTTGGCCAAAGCAGAGTTTTTGAACAAACTGATCTTAAAAGTATATCTGCCATAATATCTTCCAACCTTTTGCTTACATGAATCAAACCAAATCTAAATGTGTGTATCCCTCCATTTGTGCAGCAACCACCATTGTGGAAGCAGGCAAAGACAAGAAGAACCCTGATGACTTTGCAGAGTCTCTGGACTCAGTTCTGGGAGATTTCGCTTTTCCTGATGTGTTTTTGTTTGACGTATGGGGAGCAATTGGAGACGTCAAGAATGGGAAAATCTAGATTTGTTTGGAGACCATTGAGCGGTGCTCCCTGGCACATCTAATTATGAGAAGGCATTGTAGCCTTCTCATATCTGACATGAATTTTTAATTCATTCATACATGTTTAATGCTTGCATGCATTTAACATTTATGCAAGAATAACTTTCTTCTACAATTATGGCAGGGACTGAAATGAGTGTATGCTTTATGTCTTGGTCTCCAGTAACATTATTGTTCACCTCAGAATGAGAATCTGACTACCATGTACATTTTCAGGTCAAATAAATAATGTACAGAAAATGTATGAGATTTACTCTACAGTACACTGAAACTTAATGCTAAACTGAATATAAAAAATAGGCATTACTTAATTATCTCATTTACAACAATAACAATTCAACAATAGTTCAGATTGGGGTTCGTTAAAAAAAAAAAAAAAAAATCAGTTCCGGATTAACAGATATTTTTCAAACTACCGGTAATTAACATCGCCGTATCTGTTAAAAAAACAAAAATGTTTTCCTCTTGGTCTGTGAAGATAATGACTTAAAAGCATCAGTCAGGAAATAACTGCAACAGGAAAAAACAATCTATCTTTGATCAAAATCAGGAAGTCATATACTGTATGCTACAGTGAACTTCTGTTTCATGTTCAGTCCGAGCCTCCCGAAGAATTAAGAAACCAACAAGGTTTTGGTTTTTTTTTTTCAAACATTGCTTTTAATGGTGTTTCTTCTCGATTGAGAGACACCAGGGTGCAACAAACAAGCTTCTGCGATAGTCACCAATGCGGAAAGACATCCTCTGTCATGCAACATTCATGTTTACTTGCTGATTTACTGTTGCATGTCAATTTTTGTCTGCTCGTGATGCTTTGAATATGTTTTACAGTATTAGATGAATGATCTCCATTTGAGCAGCTGACAATACATGGCTCATTCCACATATTAAATGAAGATTAAAACACATACATATAGTGGTCAGAGGATGCTATTGAGTTTCTCCACCAGACTGATCCATTTTGCTCAAGCGTGCCCAATTTTGTGAAATGTACTGAATGAGCAAGACGGGCGGGGCAATACATTGATCTTTTATTTTGCATAGAGTTTAAAAGGCAGCAATTCCACTCACAATTTCTCAAAACATACAAAGTACAAACATCTTGGAAAGTAGAAATAAAAGACAGAATACCACAGTTCCCAGTGGCACATTTAAGACCATAAGCAGGACTTTGGACAAAACTAGCATGCGTAGTTTCATGGTGCTTAAATGTCTTATAATCTGCTCCTGGAAAATATGTCGGAAAATATTTGCATTTATATCTTCCACTGGGTCATATTGTCATATGTTAGTTGTTATCTGAGTGTTCATGCAAATATAGTAGCCTAAGTATCCCACATTTAATAAAGATGTACCACATTTTTTTCCACAGGCATGTACAGCATTACTATTTATTCATTAAATACTCATTTCAAAGTGCTCTCTTCAGTAGCACAATTTGGAATTTTCTTTCCAACCAATGCATATACAGTACTGTTTAACTGACAGTCGTGCATTCATGCATTTGAAAACAGAAACTTGATCATCCCCAAATGTATAAAATGTGAACGTGTGCCTTTGCAAAGCATAAAGTCCCACTTGTCCAAAGTTCAAAGGGTGTATGTGTTGCAGCTAACCACAGCAGAATATTGGTTCATGTTTTTGATCAAGAGGTTGCCTGACAATTCCGCATTGTGGGGAACTGACTTACAATACTTATCACACTGGGCTACATGTGGAGCATTTTCTTTAGTGGTGTCCGTCTGCTTTTATTCTAACTGGGTTCTTACCGACTCTTCTTGCTTTTTTTCGCCTCTGCGAGGCCGCTGAGGCCTGTGCCCCGAGTTGCAAATGATGTGATTGGAAAAATCAGCTTTGCTTTATAAGCATTGCTTTATATTTAATTGCAATATATTATAGTATTCTGTATTTACATTGCGTTGCCAGTGATTGTTTTGTTATGTTTCTAATGACTATTTTTGTCCACGTAAAAAGAAATGTATACATACTTTACTCTTATTGAAATGTCTGTGAATACCGTAACTGTGTAATGTGCAGACACCCTCTGCAGAACTGATACTGGGTTGGGAAAGCCTTGTGGAATAATGGGGAATGGAAGTTATACTTGTTATTCTCGTAAAAATGGAGAAGAAATGGTTCAATGTCATTCAGGTGCAACATTTTGAAAGAGAAGAAACTTGCAAAGAACAGCTTCATTCTATTGACTATATAATATGTTGCCTTTTTGGGGAGTGAGGGATCCAACTCAATGTTGTTCATATCCTCTCAAGTTACATTTACAATATTAGCAGAGTGTGCCTCTTATTAGCCTCTTGCTAATTACATACTGCAAATCAATAATTAATTCTAACCTTGAACTGATTTCAAGATCTGAGGCATTAATTGAAGAGAGCCATCATAGGCGATTTTTCATCCAGGAAGGCCAGAAGGCTCTTCTGATCTAATTTGACAGTCTAATAGTGAATATGAAAGACCAGCAAACACACTGCGAGACAAAGGAAAAGTTATTACAATAGAGTACCCCTAAGTTTTATTTTCATTTATAAATTGCAAAATGTGTTTTTCTCTGTTTCACTAAATCTAGATTCCTTGCTGTTGCAGTATTCTTCCTGATTATAATCCATGACATTTTAAATAATATATATTGTCCACTCCAGTTTTTTACATCATAGTGTGTGTGTGTGTGTGTGTGTGTGTGTGTGTGTGTGTGTGTGTGTGTGTGTCGGTGGTGGTGCAGCAGTCAAAAGGGGGATATTGAGGAGGGTGTCATTCAAAATAGGACCAGCACTGACTTCAAAACAGATCATTACTATGGACAGGCTTCTTCTGGTCTCTAAACCAGAACTCAACCATCGAAGAGGAAGAAGAAGTGCTACAGTGTATGGGGTGTTTCATTCAATTTTTCATTCTGTCCCATTTCATCTGAGCTAAGGTGCCTTCCAAGCGAAGAAGAACGTGTTAATCTGTTAATGGTGCTCCTGAATGATTGGTTTAAGGTGGACCATTGAGACCACTGGGACCAGTCCATGCGGGGGTAGACTCTCTGTAAAACCGCCCTGCGAAACAGGATATACACCCATGGGTCTAGGATCTGGTTCCAGGAGGCAAAGCGCAGCCACAGCAAAAGATATATGACCTGGAGAGGATGTCCACTCAGCACAGTTTGTGCAATAAAGACCTGGCGGAGGAGGGAGGAAACAAATGAAATGAGCATAATTGAAATCCCTTAAATGAGGTGGAAATTCAACAAAGGAAGTCACACTTGCATTAATGACACAAAATGAACAAGATCCGAGTAGGATGGGAAATGAGAGCTTGCAATGAAATTAGTGGAATTAATTAGATCTGCATTCAATGAACCTGGGCTGACAATTACAGTAAGTCACGTTAACCTTTCCACTGCAGCTTTTTTTTTTTTTTTGCACAGTCAGTTGCAGTAGCCAATCCATACCAAGTGACCATGAGGCTAATTTAACAATTATATAGACTGCAGTATGTACTTAAGAAACTTGTAATATAAAATGTCAATATATTCCTATAAACACTTCATATCATATTGCGTGTCAAGAAATTTTCCATGCACAAACAGTATGCACATGCACATGCACTCCACTCCAAAACTAAAAAGAAAATAAAAAAATATCCTCCAGAACACCCAAAAGGCCCCCCCCCCCCCATTCTGTGTATTTGAAAACAAATACTCTGTATTGTATTGTGCCCTGATTTGGGATTGGAGCATTTTGGTTTTATGTTTTTTTTTTTTTGGGGGGGCGGTGTCTGTGGTGGGAACTAAAATGATATCAGGTGGTGGGAACTAAAATGATATCAGTTGCATTTTGTAAACCAAATTTGCGTTAGAGGAGTCATCAAACTTTGAACAAGTCAGATGAGCGACCTGAGATCTGGGAATAAGATCTTGGTCTGTGGCAAATCCGACTTTATATGTTACATTTAAAATAAAATAGGCATTGAATTGTAAAATATAACAGATGACACATTCATGGACATTCTGTTAGCAACTTATAGTGGTCCGTTAGATGATCTGAAATCCCTACAACTCGGATGGTACAGTTTACATGCTCGCTAAATGTTAAAAGACAGCCTGATGTAACATGCCAAGAACAAATGACAGGATCCAGAAAGAAAGTACAGCTGCGGCATCACAAAGAAGAGACAACGGCTAACCCAGTAGTACGCAGATAGAATGGGTTGGAGGAGAACAGATGTGGAAATGAATGACCTCATTCAAGACGAAGTTCGGCTTGTTGGAGCGCACAGACCGATGTTAAAAGTGGTGACTGACGATTACGGTGTCAGAACCTTTTACCATTCACATTTCACTCGCCTTATTCGGGAAACGTGACACATGATGTATATCCACGGGTCAAATATCTGATTGCAGGTGGCCAAGCGTATGTACAACAAAACACTTTCGTCTTTTACGGCTTCCGCAGTCGAAGAGTTCACCAGAATATAAATCTGTGCAAGGTATCACACAACCAAGGTTAGACCAGGCAACAAATATTACATTTAACGGGCCTGTAATCATCACACCCATATTGTTTGCTGTGGGTAATTTCCACAAAATGTGGAAATGTAAATCTTTATATGCAGAATGTGATTTGGGCAATTCTGCCGAGTAGTATAAAAAAATATGACATGGTTTCGTGAAACCATTTTTTCAGTCTTGGAAAAAAAAAATATCATAATCATTATGAAAATGCAAAGGCATGTTTTAACATAAACATTCTTAACTGTTATCTGGATGTAAAAATGAATTATTGGCAAACATAGCTTGGATGTCGAGTGATGGATGTGTTTGGGCAGGTGAAGGAGATGAAGGCTTTCTATCCTTCTTAACTGTCACTTAAAATGGAGAACTGCTGTTACACGGCTCTTCCAGTAAAATGTCAAATAAAAATAGATACCAATCTCTAACTTTGATGACAACTGACTGATGCAAAGAGCCGAGGCAGAATGCTGCTCGCGCTTGCAAGGTACTGTAAGTCTCGTCACCGAAAGGTGTAATGTGTGAATCATTTGCTATTACTATTGTCAACTCATTGTTGGACATATTTTAGAAAATCCATTCACTGTTATTCATATAGCATCTCATTACAGCAGAAGTTTAAGTTCATACATGTTACATATGTAGCAGGTCTAGAACCAGGCTCTTCACAATTCAAGATGCTGAATGAACCCCACCAGTAAGCACAATGTGACATAGGCAATGGAAGGTTAATCTAAGGAAGAAACCTCAAACAAACCCGACTCTCAGTGTGGCGGCCATCTGAATTGGGTTGAAAATGAGTGATAGAAGAGAGGGACGAACAACATGATCACATATATCAACCCTGATTAACTTTATTAAAGATGAATCATTGTCGTTAAATAGTGAGCATGTATCTGCTTTCTGGACCAGTTCTGGAAGATGGTTCCATGGAAGAAGAGGCTAATACCTAATAGTTCTATTTTTACAGGTTCTAGGAACCACAAGTTAATGTCAACTTGGATGCGTAGTGCTCTGGTAGGTTGATAAGGTACGACAAGATGTTTAAGGTACGATGGTGCCTGACTATTTAGTGCAGTGGTGGGAAACTCCGGTCCTGGAGGCCCACTATGCTGCATGTTTTAAATGTTGCCCTCCTCTAACAAACCTGATTCAAATCATCAGGGTCGTTATCAGGGTTCTGCAGAGCTTGCTGATGAGCTGATCATTTGAATCAGTTATGTTGGAGGAGGGAAACATCTCAAACATGCAGGATAGCGCCCCTTGAGGATGGGAGTTGCCCAACCCTGATTTTGTGCTTTAATCAAGTCTGTTTATAGGAAGCCAGTGCAGTAAAGATAACACTGGAATAATGATCAATCTATCTCAATTCTAGTCAGTATTTTGGACCAGTTGTAGTCTTTATTGGATAAGAGAGTTACAATAATTCGGACAGAGGTCACATAAGCATATCCTACTTTTGCCAGCATAAGCTAGCAGCAAGAGAATATGTTTTATTCCCCCATGTTAACCAAATGAAAACAAATGGTATCAGCGGCTTGGACAGCCGTATGTATCACTTTGCTACATTGTAGTTTGTTGTCTAAGTCTATTTTGAGGGTCTACTGCAATTGCAAAAGGTTGAAAACAGACAGTGATGCGTCACAGAATGTATCCTTAACAGCACCTTCTATGGACCTCTGGTAAATATATGCCAAGCATTTGCTTTCAGCTTGCATAGTTTGCTGATTTCAGTTATCAGCATGGAGATCGCCCTGATGTACATTTTACAATAGTTTTCCTTTTGAGGATGCTGTTTTTGCCTGTGCTGGACAGAAATTGTCAACTGGAGCGTTAAAGTCCCGCAGATTATCTGCAGGCTTTGAGTTCAACTCATGAGGACGTTGCATTGCTGAGGAGCTATGAAGCATGTAGAAAGGAAACACAGTAAAATATCCTTGGATGGGATGATGCCTCATTATGACAGTCCAGATAAAAAAAAATACCCAAACATAAACAAAGAAAAAAAAAAGATTATAATGCCAGAAGAGGGTGCTGGATGCTTTGGATGCCTTTCTGATGTGACAGTGCTGCAACACGGCAGTTACAATGCTGAGTCATTATAACTTTATCAGTGAATCTTTGTACAGTCTTGAGATGATCCAGAGTGGAAACCCTTCTTGAAATACACCATGGATGTTTCCTTATCTGTTTTCTTTGCAGTCTCGTGTCCTTATACAGGCAAACGTCAAAGCTTTCATGATGCTAAACTGCAGGGACAGTTCTGAGCTTGTCATGAATCCATAAGATTCTGTTTTTTAGTTTTTGTTCTCCCTGAATAATTACCTTGACAAGTATGCCTTCTGTGTCCACATTCTCATAATTAGTGGAGAAAACGTTACTGAGGTGTAAAGCATTGCAATATTCCAATTAATATATCCGTCCGGACAAATAGACTTACCAGCATCGGGCACCAGCAGATGGAAGCGATGGCCATGATCAGGATGAGCTGCACCATCATTTCCACTTCCTGATCACGGGGACGTTGCATCTTATCCTGCCCACAGCACACCTTGATCAGCGTCACGACACTCACGGTGTTCAACACAAAGGACACAGCGATGCATGTCAAACCGAGCATGGAGAAGAGCAGAGAAAAGGTCAGGTCGCTGCCCTCTGAGCTAATGTTGAAAAAACACCAGGAGCCAGGCATCTGCATGTGGTAGCTCCCGACTCCTGTCAGAGGCAACAACGCTATGCAGCCGGCAGTGAACCACACCAGCAACAACATGAAGACCGTTCGCCTCTTGGGCAGGGTGGTGCTGCGTGTAAATGGACGGGTGATCCCAATGAAGCGCTCCAACGCCATTGCGGCACCAAGCAGCAACGGGCACAGTCCGTAGAAGACCATGGACATGCCCATGAAGTTGCAGAAATGGCAGTGTGGGTCTAAATTGCGCCAGTTGAAGTGTGTCACGTGAAAGGAGACCACAATGCTGCCCGTGACCAGCAGACCCATGAAGTCAGTGACCACTAGGCCGCCCAGGAAAATGAGGAAGGATGAACGTGAGCTGCTGTGAGTCCGCTGGAATGACTTGATAAGAACCACAAAGGCGATGAGATTGGAGGTGATACCCAGCACGCTGAAGATGGAAGAGAAGTAGGCTGAGGCGATGGTGGGCACAAATGTGAACGGAGGATTGTTAATGGTGTAGCAGATTGGGGTGTCGTTGGAGGGTGGTTGGGCAGAAGTGTTCATGGTGTCCAGATGAGGTGGGTCGAATGTTGAAGAACAATATCACAACGAAGAATATGGCTCTTCAACCTGAAAGAGAAAAACAAAATTCATCATCCATTCCATGTATGCATATACAGTAATAGTTGCCCGTGACCATTGTGAGGGGAAGTGGATCAGAAAAGGATGGATGGATGGATGGATGGATGGTTATAATAGTTCATTTGATCAATCACACTTACACCTACACTCCATTTTACTCAGAGTGCAATTTGTTAAAATTATTATTTTTACCATCATGGATTTGTTGCATCGATCTTTCATTATTCATGTTTCATACATTAATCTGTGTACAGTCAGCAGTGCAAGTAACATCAATTATTGCCACTGAATTAATGCAATAAATAATTTAGGCATTGCAGAATATTAATAATCTTTTCTCCCAATTGTCAAATGTGATGTACCGTCCTAAATGGAAGTGAACAGTGTCAAACGTGCATTTCAATGTTCATAACTAGAAAATGATGTGTTCAAATTGTTTTTAATAATTTTAGTGGACAACAAGCTTATTCATTTTGCAAGTAACTATGATGCATGGCATTTAGCGATACACAATTCTCTTCATTACAAATCATCGGACCGTCATGACTTTGGAGATGTTATCCTTAAATAAAATTGCTACTTCTGAGATTACAGTATACTCAGAATTCTCTCTCTCTCTCTCTCTCTCTCTCTCGCTCTCTCTCTCTCGCTCTCTCTCTCTCGCTCTCTCTCTCTCGCTCTCTCTCTCTCGCTCTCTCTCTCACTCTCTCTCTTTATTTTATATATATATATATATGTGTGTGTGTGTGTGTGTGCGCATGTGTGCGTGCGTCATTGTAGTGCTATCATAGTGTAGTTAACACAAACACACCAAACAAAAGTTTAATTGCTTAAATCATCAGCCGGACACTCAACTGACACAAAGGAACCTGTCTTGGACTGATCGCGAGAAGGTAAGCCTGCTTGCAGGAAAAGGTCCTGTTATTTACATTGTAATTATTCAGTCAGCAACCTTGCACTTGGTACGATTAAAACAAAGGTGATCATTTTGGACTTCAGGAGGCATCTAGATGAACCAAAGGTGCAAAAAAGTTAGGAGGTACCATAATGCCTATTCCACCTGAGGGTGCTCAGGAGGCACAAGTATGGAAGAAATGCTACTGACTTCTCAACACTCCTTTCAGAAGGTCAAAATCTACTGCCATAGCATAGCAGGAAACATCATCATGGACAGCTCACATCCTGGTTCCCACCTGTTTGACTTGTTGCCCTCTCACTGTTGAGCTGGGGCAGAGCAAACCAGTTAACATCCATATCCTCACTCAATGCTAACATGCACCAAACATCACAACTCATCCTGAGCTTTTCTGTGTAATGTGTACTAACCCAATTCTCATTTGTAAAAAGAATATTGTTAAGACACTGAAAAAAGACATTGAAACATAACTTGATCTACAAAAACATCCGCTCGAGTTGAACAAAGCAACTTTTTAAAATCAACTTCTGAGCAAATAATCATTAAATTTGAAATTTATGGCTGCAACATGTTCCAAAAAAGACTGAGGAAGTTCATGAGGAATGCTCATCAAACACTTGTGTGGAACATCCCACGGGGGAACAGGCTAACTGGGAACAGGTGGGTCCCATGATGAAAAGGAGCTTCTCTGAATTGCACATCATTCACAAGCAAAGTTGGGGCGATGTTTACCTTTTTGTGAACAACTGTGTGTGAAAATAGTCAAAACACTTGAAGGAAATTGTTGCTCTATGTATAATTGCAAGCAATTTCGGGATTTCAACATTTATGGCCCATATCATCAAAAAGGTTCAGAGGATTTGGAGAAATCACTGCATGTAAGCGGCAAGGCTCCTTGTGTTTGATCCCTCAGGCAGCACTGCATCAAAAACTGGCATCAATGTGTCAAAGATATCATCACATGGGCTCAGGAATGTTTCAGAAAACCATTGTCACTGAGTACAGTTTGGTGCTAAATCCCGAAGTGCAACTTAAATCTCAACTATGCAAAGTTAAAGCCATTTATCAACAACACCCAGAAACACTGCTGGCTTTTCTTTGCCCGAGCTCATTTCAGATGGACAGACGAAAAGTGGAAAAGTGTTTTGTTGTCTGAGGATTCCACATTCCAAATTGATTTTGGAAATTGTGGGCATTGTGTCTTCAGAGAGGAAAATAACCATCTGGACTGTTATGGGAGCTAAGTTCAAAAGCTAACATGTGTGGTGGCTGTGTTAGTGCCAATGGAATTGATCACTGACACATCTGTGAGGGCACCAATAATGCTGAAAGGTTCATACAAGTTTTGAAGAAACACATGCTGCCATCCAAGGAAGATTTTTTTCAAATAGACAATAGATTTTTTTTTCAGCAAGACAATGCCAAACCACATCCTGCATGTGTTACAAATACTCAACTGGCCTGCCTGCAGTCCAGACCTGTCTCCCATTGAAAACATGTGGCTCATTATGAAGCCCAAAACTGATGAGCAAGTGTAGTTGAACACCAAGCAAGCATGGGAAAGAATTCCACTCGCAAAACTTCAACAATTAGTTTCCTAAGTTCCGAAACATGTATTGAATGTTGTAAAAAGAAAAGTTGATGTAACACAGTGGTAAACATGACCCTGTCCAAGATTTTTGGAATGTGTTGTAGCCATAACATTTGAAGTGAATAAATATTTGTGAAAAAAAATACCGTAATAATAGCAATTCAAATATTGTATTCTGTTTTGATTTATGTGCAACACAACGCCCCAACTTCATTGGTTTTGCGTTTTGTATTAACACGTTTAAGACACAATTATTGCAGCTACAGTGCTGCACAGATTCACTTGTGGGTTGGTCAACTCATGCCTAGAATGTAAAGTAATTAATTGAAAAATCAGCACACAAGTATATTCCTCCATGTTCCACTCTGTGAAAGCAAGCTTTGGGTGTGCTTTGAAGTGATTTACATGGCGTTTTTGTGCTATTTTATTCGTTTTGTTTTGTTTTTTTCCAGGAAAACCTTTTTGTTCTTTATTTAAATATCACCTCCACGGGTTTTCAAAAGTAACAGTACAAAGTGTCAACCGTTTACACGAATAAATAGTTTTCAATAAATGTAACTAAAAAAGACTTCTGAGACAAGTTTGAAGGTCAACTTGAACAAAAGAGTTACATTACCTAAAAGTTTGAGTTCTTTTGTAACTCTGAGAGAGTTTATTCCTGAGACTCAAATTTGTGGTCTATCCAAGCAATTAACTTCACTCCATTGGACAATTCTAACACGAGACAGATTGCTCTTGGCACCAAGTGAAAACCTTTTCAGTATGCCATTAGACAAAAGTGCCTATTAGTTTAGAATCAATATGTGTACTGGATCTGTCATTCAGTATAGCTTTAAGGAGACACGCAAATTGTTTCCCATTGACAACCGCAGGAACCTAAATGTGTACGTTGCCTGCAAAATGCTGAGATTGCGCTAATTTTAAGATCTGCCAGTGTCCCTGTTTATTATCAAACAAATATTAGTGGGCCTCTATGAAGAGAGTTTGTCTCTGCTCACACTCAGTACAATTATATACGTACCCCAACAGTGGGTATCAAACTTTTTACACCTCAAAAAAATACTTGAGTTTCCAAGTATAACATTAAAATGAAAATGCAGAAGCACAGTGTTAAGCAAAATTGAGGTTGAGGTTCTATTCTCCAACAATCTGTTTACAATTATTTTGAGTTATTTTAACATTTGTACTGAAATATAAGAAAATAAAACAGGAGTGTTGATACCATTTGAATACAATCAGTGTTATATTAGGTGTTCTGTATTTTATTATATAGTGTAGTGGTTCTCAATGTGTGGTACGAGTACCACTCACGGTAAATGGGTTCTCTCTAGTGGCACATGAAATTATGTTTTCTTTTTTTTGGGTTGTTTTTAATCCAGTACAGTAAAAGTACAAAGTACAGCTCAGTTGTATTTAACTTGAAAACAATCCATTAAATTTTTTTAGAGTTGTTTATATTTTATTTTTACCTGACAGACTGTTCCATTGGAAATCAATTCGTCCTGCATATATCTAGTCAGCTGAAAAACGACAGTATTTGAGTAGACTTCCTGAGCACGATTCAGTCTCTCTGGGAGACTTACTCTAACTATGGTCCAAAACAATTTAATTCACTGGAGAACAAGGCAAGCGAGGGGCATGCAGCCTGTGAAGATGTTTCCCTTTTGAAATCAATAACATAATACAGGTTTCTTCTCTTTGATTCAATCTATCAGAGTACATTGTCGTGTAATTTCCATATAATTTGTCTTTCAGTAAATACAAAATGAGAAGCAGACTACTGTACTTGACCAAAATGTCTTGGCGAACAATTAAGATTATGAGGAGTATACACATAATGGGTCGGTCCAATCCCAAAATGATCACCAGTGAAAACATCTCTTCAGAGGTCTGACTTATTTGTTTTCCAAAATATATATTTTTTCCCATAAAAAGAGTTTCCAACAGTCATTAAAGTGTAAAGTTAACTGCTGTAGAGTAACATTTTGATGATTCTTGGGTATGCCTTACACGCACATCTCTTTCATTAATACGATGCCTATATCCTGTTATTCTTATTTCCGTTACTTAAGCAATACATTACTGTACTGAGCAGGCTGGACAGAGACATTTTTACCACTTTGCTTTTTTTTAATTTATTTTTTTATTATCATTATTTTTTTTTTGTTAGTACAGTGTGGCTGTGTTTATTAACCAGGGGCTACCAATTTGGAAAGTTATGTTAATTAATACTACTGGTACTGATTGGAAGAAATACAGCAGAATTCTCTCTTCAAGTGGGCAGTTTTTGCTTCGACCCAACTCCTGCCCTCAGATGTAACCAATAACAAAAGTATGACATTCCCAGGCAACATCACGAATGCTGTTCTTGTACCATAAAACTGTTGTGCGTTTTGTATGTTTTGTGAGGTGGTCGACTAATGAATTTTTCTCTTACCATTAGAGGGGCTTAGAAGTTGACTTTGAGTTCTCCATCCAGACCATCAATCTGGTTCTCATTGCTCATTGAGCTAACGCAGTAGCCACGGGAGACAGGGAACAACTTTCAATGTGTGCACCTTGTCAAAGAAAAGATAAAAATAATGATAATAAAAATACAAAAACAAACAAAAAATAAAAAATAAAAACGTTAGTGTCACAACACGCTTAACAGTTACCCTTCAACATCTCCTTTCCGTTGCGGCTGCTCAGCTCCCAGCAGCTCAGATAATCATCTCCCCCTTGAGTCATGCTTCCTTTTGTTCCTTGCAAAAGGGGAAGGGCTTTGGGAACAGACACAAACTATGCAAGGGAAGATTTAGCTACACAGAAATGTTCAAAGCATAAATAAGACATTTATAAATGTTCCACGGGGAGAAAAGGAATTTGTCTCGTTTTTACTGGTGAGCATACGTCATCCTCTTACTGGAATGCCCATAAAAGGATACCACTGTGATCATACAAACAATAAAAACAGCTTGTGTATGCAATAAAACACAAATATATTTAAGTAATCATCCAATGTATATTAAATTGGGGACATAATAGAAAACACAGCCAATGTTTCCATTATTTAAGTCTTATTATGTAACAGTTTAAAACAGAGTGCAGATGTGGAGCAGTACCTCCAGTGTTGTGAGACAGCTTTAACATGATCAGACTCTGAAAATTAAAAGCATTAAATATGAAAATTACACAATCTAATATTATGAAAGGTAATTTGGACAAATATGTTATTTCAGACGAGTATCAATTCGGTATCCCTTCACTCAATCAATACACATGAAGGTTGGTGACCCCTGCTTTAGATAGACTGGAGATCAACATCAGCAACATTTATTTTCCATCGGCCCACTCCAAGTATATTTGTTGTCTAGGTCCCGATTAAATACACATTTAGTGAGTCTAGCATCTGACATATGAACATATTATTTGATATGTGAACAAATAAGTTGAATTACTCTGACATGAGAAAGCCTTCAAGAGGTGTGTGTGTGTGTGTGTGTGTGTGTGTGTGTGTGTGTGTGTGTGTGTGTGTGTGTGTGTGCGTGCATGTGTGCATGTGTGTGTGTGCGAACGTAATATACATAATGATTATTGTTGTAATTAGCAGCAAAATAAGTGGTGAAGGGTTAGTGAGGTATTGGGTGACCACGGTCATGTCTGCAGCGGTGAGGAGGAGGTGCTGGTCTTGGAGAAGGACTCTGAAAAGTTGTCGTGAAAGCGGGCGGGAGGGCCAAGACCAGCTTGGAAGTGCACCGTCCGTTCTGGAAAATTAACACTTTTTCCCGAAATTCCAGATGGCGACCATGGCCCCTGTTTGACGATGTGCGACATTTAGACTTATTTCGAAGCTTGAAATCATTGTTGTAAATGAAAAACAAAGTGTTTGGCACACTGTAATTTAAGTGTTCGTCAAAATAAAAAAGTTCTAATGAACACGATCCAAGAACACAATTGGTAAGTCATTACTTGAAAACTCTGACAAAGATAGCATTGTATAAATCGGACATTACGTAAATCACAAAATTAAATTACGCCATTATACATAATTCTTTTCCTCGGCTATTCCCTATACTTCAGCACTAATGGGATATTTAGACAGCGTAATTAAGATTGAATTAAACATGCTCAATTAAATGAAATTTCAAATGATTTAATCAATTTTAGCCATTAAATTTTAGCAGGAGAACCAGGAAACCATCCTGACATTGTCTAGGCCGCTTTTGTAATTTAAAAACATCATCAAATCCCAGCTCAACTTATCACTTCAACATTATTATCTTCTCTTTGTGGATAGAATTGGAATGTTTCTTCTATTTTTACAACTCGAAGCTGCTCCCATTAACATTCCATTTTAATTTGCACAAGTCACACTGGTCCCAGCATTGATGCTTTGACCTTGTCTCAAATTGTCCTGGGCGTCCAATTATTGGAATTGTTTGCATCTGTCCACTCACCACATCCGGGTATACATTTTATCTGCCCTTCATCCACTGAACACCTTAAAAGGATTGAGTGATTTCCACTGCATTACATGCAATCAGGCTGGCTTTTAACTGCCGCACAAAACGCACGTCATTTCCTCCTGCTCTCACTTTACTTTGGATAAAGCTTTCATGTGCATCTGCGGCAGACAAATGCTTTTTTTGTATTCGTGTGTGTGTGTGTGAAATATAGTAATGCCCCCAACATTGGTAATATTAAGTATGGTAATAATAATAATAATAATAATAATAATAATTTGGAAGGAATGTTTCTCATAATTGACAACAATGGAGCTAATTCTACATGGGTGACAAGGAATCTAATCCATATCTCAACTTTTACTAGTAGATTAAAAAGGCCCAGACGAAAGGAAGCTGTTTCAAATCTTTCAGGGTAGCAACAAATGAACTCAGATTTTTACAGGAGTTTCCACACTGATACATAAAATGATTCACTGTATGTTGACTGATGACAACATCCCTATACTGTATATAATACAAATAAAAGTACTTTGAAAGGTTGCAGCATCTTTCAATTTTGCATTGTTGGTGACTGAACATTGTACTGAACTAAACTGAAATGCAACTCATAACTGTTGGCATCTGCATCACTTTTTTTTTAATACTTGAATAAAAAGTTGGCAAAAGTATGAAGGATTAATGGGCCATTTAATTATTTATTTATGTAGTTAGTCATTTAAACTTTATGCTTGTTCTTATCTCTGAAGTGCAGGTCATAATTTCTCTGACTGTGCACTGTCCCCTGTTGGTGTGAAAGGGTAGCTACCCATGATCCAAAACGGGGGTGCCCTTCTAACACTGTAGTATACATTGAATGTACTATTATGCTCATTTTGAATAATCTTCTTCATCTTCTTTTTTTGATGAAATTTATTTCTGCCCCCTCCCCCTCACAAATCTTGAAAGATACTTTCATTCTATTTCCAATTGTAAATCAGAAATACAGTACTTCCTCAGATACAGGCATGGGCTGTATCTGAAACACACATGTAAAAATAACTCCATATGTGACTATACGATCAAATTGAATGAAAAAGAAATTCGTCAGTTTCATCTCACATTCCTTTTATTTAGCTCCCATGTGTCCATCAACAAACAACAGCCTCAAGCACTGCTGTTTTGTTTATACTCTAATGAGCTGTAAAAGTTCTGCAGAAATAAACAGAGAACACCCAAAGCTGAGAAAACTAAACTTTAAGTGAACTCAGCCTGTGACAAAAGTCTCCATGGATACAATGCAGATCCATTTCTTTTTCCTTGCTTCTTTCATATGGTTTAGCCCAGGGATGGGCAACTGGCGGCCCGTGACCACTGGCGGCCCCTTGATTAATTTCCCATGCGCCAAAATTTTATTGTATTTAGTTTATTTATTCATTTATTTTTACAAATGCCAACTTCCATTAAAAAAAAAAAAAAAAAAAAAAAACTATGATAAACATTCAATGTATGTTTGCAAATAAAAACGGGGGACTGGGCAATGGGGAAAAAACATCTGGAAAAAATACATATACACATTTTTTTTTTTAACTTAAAAATGAGAAAATCTGTGAAATGCAAATGTGCAGGTGTCAAACTGGGAATATACAACGACTGGACTTTTAAGTTGTAATATCACCATTCACCACTAGATGGTAGACATGTCTTAATTGAACTTTCACAGGGTAGTTTACTGCCCTATAGTTCAATTTGAGTAGGCCTTGTAATTTTTTTTTTTTGGCGGATTTGGAATGATATACAGAAGAAACGAAGGGCTGCACAATACTGTATCGAAAAAAAATGCGGTATGCATGTTGAATATAGCAATATCGATAATTTTGTGGCATATAACATGCACCTGGGGAAATGGCATTTTTATGAACTACTGAAGGAAATTATTTTTTTTCATGCGGCAAAATAAGCAAGTGAATTGTATTCTTGGCTCATTCATTGTAATTCCCCTAGATACTGTTGTTGGTTGTTCGTCTGTGTGTGTGCCCTGAGATTTGACCATTATCACAAAACAACGATTTTTTTTTTTTGTTATATTGTGCAGCCCTAAAGGAGAGTACCCCAACAATATTAACATTCCGAATGAGTAGATTTTTGTGAAACCATGAAATGGAATTCACGCTACCTGCTCTGAGGTCAGACAAATAAACCACTACATCATCAATGACCTGAGGTTTAGAAATGAGAAGCTGGTAAATTATAAAAGTAGACAAAGGAAATGTACTTCTTGAACTGTTTCAGTCAAATATGAATATTTTATCATTTGCACTTGAGGACTACTTCATCATATAAAAAGAAACATTTGTTGTTTTGTTTCATAAGTAGCTACTGGGGTCAACTCCTGGTGTCTCATTATCTGCGGCTGGCATGGCACTAAAATACTGTGCATATAACTCACCACTGCTTTCTTACACTGACCTGCGACCTAATAAAAGTAACTGCAGTATTTATTGTTGCCTTCATTATCTACTGAAAAGAAAATACATGGGGTACGTCTGCCCACATTCCACCTTGTGTTGCAAATTATGAGGCATATGCTGTTTTTGATCATTTTCCAAAGTAGCCAATGCGATTTGCAAAATAATAAATGGATACATAATTTTTTTGTGTGTGATCTGATTATGTCAGAATTAGTTCTCGAAAAGAATAATTGTTATTTTCTGCCCCTTGTCATGGTCATGCAAGTGTGAGCTGGGTTCGGACACGCTGCAGTAGAGGTGGGCAGGGTGAGATGATTTGAAGAACAAACTAATTGGGAAGCATGTCGCAGACAATTTTATAACGACCCATGGAAACTTTCTCCAATTTTTGTTTGTGTTTTTTGGAGCCTCTGATTGCTTGGGTTAACTGAGGAATGTTTAGCTCTTGCGAGCGTTGCTCAAGTGTCACATTTTTCTTCTGTGTTTGTATGAAATAGTGAGGGTTATGGAGGTTATCGCCCATGAAGAAGCTGTCTTTGAATTTGCCTGTCCACGCTTTGATGGCTTTGTGAGGAATTAGCTGTTCCAACGCTCAATGGCCTTGATTCTCTGGACACGGTGCCAAATCAGTATAGCATGTAGTTTAATTATTTTGCACAACAACATCCATCCATTATCTGTACGGCTTGCCCTCATTTTAGGATGACGGGTAAGTTGGAGCCTCCTGCAGCTGACTTTAGGTGACAGGTCACAAATAGACAGTCACATTCACACCTTTTACTTCATGTGAACTCAGCTTGATTACTGTTCGGATAAATTGATGAATGAATGATGACCACGTCCCATCCTAATCTATCCGCCTCATTTTAATGCCCACGCAGTTATGGCCATCATCATATGATTTTGCCTTTCTTATTTTATAAAAGGCACACGCAGAGAGCACTCTTCATTAGAGGACGACTGATAGTGGATGCAAAGCTTTTATTTTATACGACTTGCAATTATTCAAGTTTAGACGTAATTGCTTGGCAATGTATGCATGATACAGCCTC